ATTTGAAAGTAGTTTGTAAAACCCGAAGTAGCTCAAAGTGTCCTCCCTGACATGGATTACCTGGTCACCCTACCTTTGTAGAGACTCCCAAAAGTGAGAGAAGGATATGAAAAATGTTTATTTTTGAAAGCCAGGATTCCTGTTTATCTCCAGCTGCCAATGAGGTCACTGCTTTTTTGCAATTAATTGCAAACATTGTTTTATTGGCTTCGTCGGCAACACTGTTAGCAAATAACATATAAGCAGAATGAATTAATGTGCCAAATATGCAAGCAGATCTACCAGAAAATTCCCCTCACTTAACCTTCGCCGGAGGTACAAAACTACTTATAAGAGCTGTTTAAAAGCTACAAAGGTCCATTGTGGGCACTGGACGCACACAAAAAAATAAATTATGGATATCTTTATCTCGCCTGCAGGAGAATTTTTGAAACATCTAAGGTGCGTCTTAAAGGAGTTTTTGATGAACATTTGGATCAGACTACTGTCATTAGAGCGCTTGTATCATGGCATATTAAGCAATTATTAACCTGGCACGACCGAATAAGTATGATCACAAGTTCTGCGAAAAGCCAGCGAGTCGTTGTACATAATTATAACAAATGAGTTTTAGAAATTTCTGCCTGTAGGGGACGAATTTTGTGTAAGGATATGTCACATCTAAGGTCGTGAATGTGTATTTCAGCCAACAATATATTGATGCGGTTTAATGTAATTCGATTATTTAAAATACTAGGTCAATATTGCATCGCCATATTAAACTTTTTAAAGAATATTAAAGCTCGTTAGCAACTTGTGATCGGACTGCGATCCCGTACACAGCGAGCAGAAATGGATCTTAGAAGACGGTAACTGGATGTTTTCTGCAGGGGTCCTGGGTTTATGCACGGAACGTAAAAGCCACGTGTAACCCCTCCCACACGATCCCTTTATCGACACGTGAGCACTGAGGAAATCATCGTGGAAAAATGGATCTGCTACCACCTCTCCCGTGGATAGGAGACGTTCAGAAAACGTCCCCCCCCCCGCTTACAATAAACATTTGCGATGTTTAAAATAAGTATACTGCTTACGTGTGGCACGGGTTTCCCAGTTTTATGTTATCCTCAAGTTACCAGAAGCTGTTATGTAAAATATGCGCAGAAAATCTTTGCAACTTAAACTACAATCATCAAGTGCCCGATTTTTAATGTAATACAACGCTGCAATGTTTCAAGAGCCATCGAATTCGTCTGCTTTTAAATTCAACCTCCTGTAATAAATTACTAGTTTGCAAAACCACTTTAAAAGTTTTAAAGTATTACATTTCGCAGTGTAAGATAAATTTAGATGACACTGCACGTCGGTGTTATTTGTGAACTATTTTTGTGTAATACAGTTTACCGTCAATAAATATTCTGCATTAATAAAAACAAAACTTTCATAGGCCGTTGGTACTACTGTAAAAGTGGTGCGCATCACTATAATAAAAGTGCAACGAACCTTTTTTCGGGTGTCCTTTGGCATTTTTCTTCGAAGTCATTGCGATCAACTCTAAATATTATTTAAAAGAATCTATGTGCTCGAGCCACAATTCCTAAATTCCTACACTAAAGTACCCTACTAAAATCAAATCCTTATGCTCTGAGACTGAAGCCCATAGCAACCCGTTCACTTTTGAGTGATGCTGAATTTCACCAATCCAAAGCCACTTTATGCTTTAGGGGCGGGGAAGACTGTCATTTTAACCAATCGCGATGCAGCAGTGAATGTCTGATTCAATCGTGTGGATACCCGCAGGTTAGAACCGCCTCGCGCCTGCAGTGTTTGCAAGTATTGGAACGTGGCAACATGGAAGTGCCCAGTCCTCGCGAGAGCGGGTTGGACTGGTTACATCATAATACTACTACTAATAATAATTATAATAATAATTACAATAAGAATAATACACGTGCACAGTATGAAGCATAAAGATGCAATACTCATTGCAGGAGGTATCCTTATACTTATTTATATTACGCTAAACCGTACAATACAACTATAGAATATTATACCATGTTAAAACATAAAACGTCAAAGCAATTCATGGCAATTACATTAGATAGCAATGCCTATATAATATTACTTATAATAAAGTTATCTACAGTAATAATACAGTCGGAATCCTAGAAAGTAGTTAAAGCACTATGAATATTGGTTTAAATATGCTGGTTTCATATAGTTCATGTGATTTGGTTTTTATCGCGTTTGTCATTGGTGTTTGTACTTTGGATTGGCTTTATAACCTTTCACCCAGAAGCCCTCAGTCCGCTACTTGCAGGCATCACATATATGTACATTAAATGTTAAATGCGTCAGGCGGGTTAACATGATTAACCTCCAAATCCATTAGGAAAGAGAAATATGATGTTGAAGGGACATTCATAACAATGAAATTCATTCCAAGATAAAATGAACCCTTATATTTACCCTTTAGATTATTGGAAACATTTTTGTCAATATTTTCACCGGTGCAGCCTTTGGAGATTTGATATCCCGCTGGGACGCCATTAAGGGTTAACAAAGGAGCAAAGGGCACTGATTCGATCAAGGATGGGTGTGACTATCACTGTCCTTGGAGTGTGATCGGCAGGGAGCTACAATGCTGGAATTATCTGACGTCTAGTGTCAGAGGTCATGCATATTTTGAAGACTATTAACTAGTATAACTGACAAAAAACCCATACCCACTGAGCCTCTTTCAGTGACAGAACAATGTTTAAACTGAGGGTAAAACAACAAAATAACTCAACACCAATGGAAATCCAGCGAGCCCCCCCCAAAAAAAAAAAAAATCGGTAATATTGTAAAACGTCGTTGGTTTTGCGGATG